TTTTGTCACGCCGGTCAGTGCCCCTAATTCACGGAGGGGACTAGAATTACAGTTCTGGATGGATCCAACTTGTTCAACACCATTATCAATCGATATTGAATTGGATTGGTACGGTAGTTTGGGAAAAATAGTTATGAGATTCCAAATGGTTGCGGCAGCATTTCCTTTCATTATAGCTATAATGACATTGAGGGCTCAATTTAGAGAATATGATCATGGGGGTAAGAATTTTTACATTATACGCATCTTATAATTGTTTTTAAATTTAACACATCTATCTTTTATAGGACCATTTTTGAGTTTTGGACATGGATTAACACTTTTTATTCGTCAAACATTTCTAAAATTTCTTGTTATCATTTCATTGCTATCAATTTATCAGTCTATCACCAAAGCTTCGAAAACATATTCGTTGGTAGATTTATTTCCAATGGATTATGCATCAGGAGACATGCAAAAAGCCATTAAAGCCAAATCATCATTCAATGTGAATGACACGCTTCTCGGAAATCAAGATCCGTTTTTTTGGTTTCTTCCACCAATGTTTTTTGTCATGAGTGTTGGAATAACGACTTTTTGTTGGATTCTATTGTCTAGTATTGTGAGGATTGTGACATTTGTTGTGGTTTTTATTAATCGCAGAGCAAAATGTGTTACACGCTTAGTAATTAGGTAAGCAAACTTATGTTGCATTATATTTGTTTTTTGGGGATAACTTGTAGATTTCTAAATTCGAATTCATGTATTCTTTCGCAAAGACCTTCAGAAACTAAGGCATCTGTATTGCTTCGTCGTGCAGTAACCACGATAATACTATTTATTTTAGTTGCATCCTTTGTCCCATATCAGTTTGCCTACATAGTCGCCTTTTTTGTTCACTTTGTATCATGTGTGCGGTCCCTGGTTGTTGCTCGTTATGGGGTATGTATTGTTTTATATTTTTTGAGTATTATATATATATATTTTTTTAAAAAATAAAAAAAAGCTTTTCGGTGTTTTTAACGCGAAGATATATTTATATTTTTGCATTTAGCATAAATCTTCAAATGCACAAGAAAGCTGGGATCGCTACCACTATTTACAATCAATGCTTATTCTTTTGTTCATGCTTTTACCGTTTAATTTACCTGTATTGATGGTTTGGATTCGAAATATGTCAGTTCATTGGTTTGCACCATTTTCATGGGATCACAGTATAATGGCAATAGCACCAGTAATATTTTATGTTGAAATTATAACAAGTGGTAGTATGTTACCAAGGTCCACCGGGAGGTAAGAAAACTACAAATTCATTATCGTTCTAACATAAATATTCTCCAATGTAACTTTTTTTATTCTTATAGTAACTCTCGAGCGATCACCGGTTTTATTCTTTTTTTAATAACAGTGTATGCTTTGTTATATGGTGTACGTTATACATATTTACTTTACTTTTCATCGCTTGGATTTTTGTCATGGCTTATATTACTTCACATTAGAGAATCATTGTGGATTGGTAAAACAACGATCGTTTATTTTCAAAATATATTTAAATTTAATAAGAAGCGATCATAGCATTAGTTACTTTATTGATTTATTTATTTACTATTATTATTTATTTTTTTATTAATAATTCGAATAATGAGAAAAAAAAAAGATATTAGACACAAAATGGTTTTACAAAATAGAACGAGCTACTCTAGGCTGGGGGTTTATGCATTTTATCTTATACCCAATTTGAGATATTAGAGTGACTGAGATAAGATCCTGAACCTCCGGTCTATTCAGGGACACTCTTTTGATAAACTTTGGGAACATTGTCTTCGATGGGTATTTAGGTATTCGTGGTTTTTTTTAATGGTGGGATGGTGAGGAATTAAACTATTTATTGACAATTGGTAGTCAATTATCTAATACTACAAAAATTTCATAAAAAAAAACAAAAAGTTATTTTTTATATATATACCAATAATTTCTTTTTTACATACGCTCTTCCATTATTTCCGTGTAACGATAAACACCAATAATTTCTATAAACATTGCTCCTTTTTTTTTTCTTAATATATAAATACAAATATATATACATATATATATACTAATAATTTAGTCAGTTTTTTCAATACACTAATAAAATCAATGAGACCACAAATCAAAAATATATTATATAAAATAAAGTAGATACGATGTCTAATCTTAATATTTACAAATTAAATAATCGTGAATTGTATTCGGTTTCAAAATATTAGCAAATATTAACATGATATCGAATTTATACAATATTTCGTGATTTTTTCGATGATATTTCTGCAATTATTGCATTTGGGGCATAGTGAGATTAAAAAATTGTTAATAAAAAATCAATTGTAACATGGAGTGTCGTTGATTAATTATCTATGTTAATGTCTGACACAATTTATTATACAGAGTAAGTTGTTACAATTAACATATTACGATTAATTTTGTATACCAATTTTTTCAATCTCACTATGGTACGTACGGTTTGATTGACGACGTCCCATTTAATTTCGTTTGTTTACAGTTATATTTTCAGATTCTGATATTCCTGGCACAGGGCCGATGTTTTTGTGTTTCACATAATACCACAGAAATAGGTCTATATCACAGAATATATTTATATCATCGCAGAATACCACTGAAATTGTGGATTTCAATTTCAATCCACAAATTTTCGGGTCGGAATGCATCGGAGTTACTGGTCAGCAGGAGCTATAGCGATAGTAAAATTATTTGGGTTTCATTATAATGAACTTGGCGATTTCGGCCATCCGACCAGGGTTCCTGTCAGGGATCCGTAAAATTTTAGATATAAAAATTTTCACAAAAATCTAAAATTTCAAGTATCAACTCATATTTTCTAAAATTTAAAGAATTTTTATCTAAAATTATCAATTTTAACTAAAAATTTCCATATTATATTATACTATAGTTTGTGATACGTAGGAATGAGATGCTGCGTAAGTGGAATATTTCGAAATTTCACAATTCTGGCCTGCATTAGCAGTAAACTATAATGTGGACCGCAGTAGATTCTTGATTTGCTTATCCCTAGTGATACGTATTCTATTTTTAATGAATTATTATAAAACGCACCTATGGTGTTTTACGTAGCACCTATATATAATTGCTTCTAATAAAATTTAGGGTTAGGGTTAGGAAATTAAGAATTATTTTTTTTATATACAGTACAGTAATACTAGGTAAATGGAAACCATTCAAAGTCCGAAGGACAAATATAAATTTTAAATTTAATTTATACTGACTATAATAATAAACGTGGCAATAAACGTTAGGTTCGGTTGTTTTTTTTTAAATCTTTCCTGATCTAGCCAATCAGGCTTCAGAATTTGTTAACACACGGACATCGGGTGTACTATTGACATACCCAGTAGTGTCCTTCGGACAATAATATAGAGCTAGGGCCCGATCTCAGTTCTCATGAGGTTTTTAGGGGTCCTGAACATTTTTACCGTTTTTTCACTATGTAAAAAAACGTATCACACCGGGTACTGTATACAGTGCTAAACGGTACTTAGAAAACCCGATCCCGTTTACTTAGTACGTTTTTGAGAAACGGGACCTATGGTGTAAAACACCATAGGTGCGATTTTATTCCTAATTTTATATTTAAAAACAATCGGCAAAATTTAAATACTGAATTATTAAGTATTTTAACAAAATAAAAATTTATTAAATTTAAGCTAAAATTTGCCTAAATTTCTTGTTATCAGAAAAAAATTCGACAGTATCAGGGCGTAGGATCGATTTCCGGTCACATGATTTTCCGATGTAAATTAACCAATCAAAAATCAGGATCAGGTGTAACGTATTTAAGAAATAACCAAGCATTTATCAGAATTTACGATTTTTGACTCCAACAAAAATTTTACTATACTATAGCTCTTTCTAACCATAAATAGTACCTAAATAAAAATATAAACTAATTTTTTTGTTTGAAGACTATTGACATCGGAAAATCACGTGAGCGGAAATCGATCCTACGCCCTCTCATATTGGGGTATTGCAGCTCCTACAGGGAGATCCCAAAATCCCGGGTCGGAAACTTCGGAACTCTGGTCGGAAGGGCCGGGTTGATCAATTTTGCCTAGGGATGTTAATGGAGTAAGGTACTCCAGAGTAACTGTGGAGTATAACCCACTCCATACCGGTGTGGTCCAGACATGACACCACCTCGGATTACTAAGATATTATTAATAGGAGTAATTGCTCCGGAGTAATACTACTAATACAAAATGGATTATACTCTGGAGTATTATTGTATATATATATATTACTGTATTTCCCCAAAATAAGGTAGTATATTTTCGGGAAAATACAGTACTATAAACTCCGGAGTATTACATAGTGCTTAACACATAGTACTCTGGGTTATACTCTGGATTATACTCCGGGTTACACTTTGGAGTATGCTCTAATTCATACTTTAGTGTGGTGTGGTGTTAAGGGATACTCTGCCAGAGTATGCACCACACCACCCTGAAACACTCCATTAACATCCCTAATTTTGCCCCAAGATCACTAAGAATTTTACTAATGAAACAATAATCGTTCATTAAGTGAAAAGTTCCCAGCTGATAATTTTACTATAGCCCATAGCTTTCTAACCCTAACTCAGCCCTAACCACGACGCGTTCCGGCCATTACGACCCGGAATTTTGGGGATCCCCCTGTAGAAAAATTTAAAATTTATGTCAGGTGTTATACGTAGTAATACAGCAAAATCGATAGGCGCGTACTAACAATTTTTTTTTTGCCAAATTTTTGTAATAATTATTATGATATTGTAAAAAGAAGCTACAGTTTAAATTTTTATTTACAAAAGTTAATTCGTAATAAAATTCACTTTTTGGTTAAAAGGTTATATGTAAAATTTTAAAAATCTTTAATTAAAAAAATTGTCAGAAAAAAATTGTTAGAGGTGAAGCAATTTTTTAAATACGTACGATAAAATCTGTATTATTGATTTCTATAACACTTCTGTCCTACCCTGATGTTTTTGTGTCACTTCCCCAACCTAAAAAAAAAAAAATGTCAAATTTCCTAAATAACGATAATACCCAAATAATTATAACTTAAAAAAACCTGGTAGTGCATCAAGTATCTTTCTCTGTTCGGGCGGAACACGACGCCACTCCGCATTATAATAGTTTTTTTTCCATCCCTATTAAAACATAAAACAATGATCTTCAGCACATGATACTATATTCAAAAATTAAGCTACAAAGGCGGCATCCATAATTTACGTTAATCCTAAAAGAAATACAAAAATATTACCATATAGTATTATACAATACAGTACTGGTTTAACGTAAAATATGGATGCCGCCAAACTAAAATTTCAATAAGTAGGTACCCCCCACGCAGGATGAGAAAACGGATAAAGTTTTTTATATCGTCCCCTTAACGCGCCTTTAAGGACTTTATCGTCGAAAAGATCCTTTATACTAAGACTTTCGAGTCCATCGGTAAAATTGGTGAAATTTGTGAACCTTTCGATGTTTAGAAAACAATAGTAACCGGGAGATTGTATAGAGGAGTCTTTTATGAATTGAAAAGAGAATTCGGAAATTATGATATGGAAACTCTTTATTGAATTTATAGGCGATTTTTCTTCACTTGAGTCAATTTTTATATAAATTAGTGCATGAAAAAAATTTTAGAATAGATCCACAGATTCAAGTTAATATCTGTAATATCTGTCGGATTACTTACAAAACCTCAAAAAAAAACAGGAATCCGAAATTATGTATATAGAAAACAAAATACCTTTCAAATTTTTGAAGACATTCTTCACTAAAGAAACACCGAATGCAAAATTCTTTATCGTGGATTCTGGCACAGACTTTTTCTTCAAAATTATCTGTTTCCAATCGAACTGTAGAAAACTAAAAAAATTTTATCGTTTTTAACGCGTTCATTTTTTTTTAAACTTAAATGGATTTGAGGGGCATCAAATATCGCTTACATCTATTACTTGAGCTCTTAAAGGCTTTTTCTTAGGTTCATCAATATCATTTAGATAATTTAACGTTTTTTGCTTTTATCCATTGTTTATGTATGAACTTTGACATATTATATAACGTAGAAGCTTGAAAAAATTATAAACTTACATACGTGTTTGATAACACAGGTTTTAAACAAAAAATTTTCCACCTCTGTGATTTTGACCAATCAAAATTCAAGATCAGGTGTAACGTGATGGTCAAAACAAACGCGCGTATAAAATTAAAGCCGCGTTATAGTTAGGGTTATGGTTGTTTTATTAGTAAAATTTCACGAGGAACATTTTTAATTAGGCCGTAGAAGGTGGTTTCATAATTAAAATTTAAAGCTATTTTTGATATTTTTGTGGGACAAATTTCGGGTATTCTGACATAGAATCCGAACGCGTGCGAAAGAAAAAAAGAAAAGAAAGCGAAATACTTGAAAACTAGTGTTTAAATCGACCTTATTGGACTAGTAAAAAATAATGGGGATGAAATTTTATATATAAAAAACTCCAACTTATAGCTAAAGCCCACAATCCTAACGTCCTAATCCTAGACTTCTATTTTTACGCACTTAGTTTATTTACAAATTTTGATTTCCTTTTTTGGTTTGTATTACCGGCGCAAATAAGTAAATTGGCTTTAATCTCGCAAAATCGGAGTTTAAATCGCTATCCTCGTGATTTCTTGGATGAATTCTTTTATTATAGCGGTTTGCAGAAAGGTGTGACCCCTGCAAATCATGATGTCATGTGAAATCATACGAAATCGGCCGATTCTGATCGATTTTTTGATTCTTGAAGAATTTTAAAGATTTTTATATACAGGCATTAATGATCGGTATTTTAATTTATCAAAACAAAACAAATTATATAATGTACACTCCCCTGACAAAAGTCACCAGCTTTTCACTAATTACAAAGATCTAACCTAATTAGTTGATGATCGTAGCTTCATATAAAGTATTATTTTTTATATGCAAATCAGTCTTTGCGTAGTAAGTAAAGTTGTTTACTATGATGATTTGTATACAATTTGAAAATTTTAAAAAAATTT